CTCCCCCTCCACAGCCACCCACGGTGGGCCGGGCGTGACAGGCGGGGAGCCGCGCACCCCGGCCCGGCCCCACTGCAGGGCGAAAGCCCCCCGTGGCGGCCACCGTCTGGACGCAAGCCCCAGGAAGCGGCGAGGACAAGAAGCCAGACCCGCGCGGGGCCGCCTCTGCCAGGGCCAGGGGACTGGGCTGGGGCGGTGAGCGCCAGCCCTGGCGGGCAGTTGGGCCTCTGGTCGGCCGGGCCGGGCGGGGCGGGCAGCAGCCTTGAGGGAGACGCTGCTTCTGCAGCGGGAGGCTCCGCCTGGGCGTGGCGTGGCCTCCCGGGGGCAGCCACTGCGGGGAGCCCTGCCTGGCCCTCCTGTGCGGGACACGGCCCCACGGCCTCCGGCAGGCTGAGCACCCGGCGCCTGGCCTTTCCTCGAACCCCGGACGGAAAGAGCCTGAGAGCGGGAGGCCAGAAATGAGCTGCCAGAGGAACAGGACGGAGGAGTTTGCTGGAAACCAGGCCGTGGGGGTCCGGCCAGCCCGGGGCCACCGCCGGGGCACGCGGCCAGACCCAACCCAGGCGCAGGCCGCGCCCACAGCCCCGAGGTGGACGGGCGTGAAGACAGCAGGCTGGGCCGGGCCGGCAGGGCCTGGGCGATGGCAGAGGAGCGCGGCTCCCCCAGCCTCATGGGCCAGAGCGCACCCCCTTGCAGACGCGGGCCGGCGCCACGCGGGCACAAGCAGGCATCTGGGAAGAGGGGGCAGCCCCGGACGGCACCCCAGCCCTGGCCAGCTCCCACGCTCACACATCGCTCGCCTCTGGGAGACGAGGAAGCCCCCCTGTCCGCAAGCGGAGCCTTCTCCGTGAGGGGGCTCGAGTCAGCCTTCCGACTACTTTATTGAGGGGCAGCCCCCCACAAGCGCCTATCTGGGGTGCCGTGCTATGTCCTCCATGTGTCCACGGCACAGCGACGTCACCGCACCCTGAGGTACCCTTAGCCGGCCCCTGGCACCCATGGCCCTGCGTCCAGGGCATAACACACCCCGAGACCAGCAGATGTGCTGACGCGCTTGCAGGGACCCCAGAACAGACCTTCCAGAGCGACCTGGAGCCCCGGGAGTGGCCAGGTGGAGGGACACGCCGGCCCGGCGAGGCTGCTGGCCACTGGCGGTGCCGCTCACCTCTCTCCTCCGGAGGCCGACCCGCCGGGCCGGGACCCTGACCGCTGACCACAGGAAGAGCGGCTCACGCAGCTGGGCGGGACAGAGGCAGAGGGCCGAGGCCCCACCCGGGGAGGAGAGGCGGGAGCACCGTCTGGGGGACCAGGCGGGTCCCGGGGCACCTGGCGGACAGGGATGTGTGGGCGAGGGCAGAGCCAGCCGCCGGCCAGGCCAGACACGGGCGTCCAGGCCTGCCGGGAGCAGGAAACCACCGCAGGGGTCTCTCAGGCTCCTCCGGGACTTGCTGGCGTCCAGGGCGGGAGTGGCCGCAGTGGTGACAAGCTCACGTTTGCTGCGGGGGTGCCACGGCCGCTCGAGCAGGCCCCTGCGCACAAGCCCGCGGGAGCGCCGGGCCGGGCT